GTGAGAAGCCTTGACCACAAATGGGTAGTGGCGTTGCACTCCTGTATCCTAGCCCTTGGAGGCAGAGGCAGGAGGTTTTGGGTTCAAGGCCAGCCTGGGTTTCAGAATGAGACCCTACCTCAAAATCTCAAAGCAAAGCAACATCCCTCTGTTGAGTCACATTGACCAGGACAGGAACCGAGGAGGCTGAGGTGTTTGAAGATTGGACTCAAACTGCAGAAAGATGGGGACCTTTTTTTTTTTTTTTTCTGTAGTTTTGGTGCCTGTTCTGCATCTTGCTCTGTAGCCCAGGCTGGCCCCAAACTCAAGAGATCCGCCTGGCTCTGTCTCCCAAGTGCTGGGCGCTGCCCGGCGAAAGATGGGGGTCTTGTCATGAGGGGGTCTGAGCCTCCCAGACAGCCGCAGATGGCTGACAGCAAAGGTTCCACAGCTTGCTTTCAGGGGAGGGCTGTATAGAGGTAGTTCAGGATGACCCGCCCACAGCCCCTTTTGAGTGCGTCTGGATAGATCGCTGCTGCTTTCCAATCTCCCTGCCCTGAGACGACCACAGTGACATTACTGACATCGCCGAGGGAGCGGGGAAATGGCAGTCGTGAGGATCAGTCACTATGGCCAAAGGCTGGGTCTGAGGCCTGCTGGGTCTGCATTGGGAACTGCCTGCACTTGGCAAGGCTTTCCACCGGGGAGCAGACTGTTGGCAGATGTGGAGCAGTCTGGGCCCGAGTGCCCGGAAGGGGCAGAAGGGTTGGTGGCTTAGTTTCTTTTCCTATTGATGTGATACGGTATTCTGACAGAAACATCAGAGAGGAGAGGGTTTATCCCGGCGCACACTGCAAACATGTCATGGCAGGGGAGCCAAGGCAATAGGATCCTGAAGCCGCTGCTTCTGCCTTTCCAGGAAACAGCAGTGAGTGCGTGCTGCTTAGCTTCCTTTCTCCTCTCAGTCCAGGATCCCCAGGAACCGAAGGAACAGGTTTCATCCATAATTAAGGTGCATCTTCCCACACTGATGAGCAGTAGTCCCTCACAGACATTCTTAGAAGCTGGCCTTAATCTAGACACTGCCCCACAGCACAGGTGTGCCTGGAGGCTTGTCCTTGGATGACTGGCTTCCATCCGGTTGACACTAGCCGCAGCAGATGGAATGGCCAGAGAAGACTGAGCCGGTCCCCACCTCCCATGTGAGGAGCCTGGCTGGGGAGGAGAGGGGCCTGCTCCCTACAACTCCCTTTCCGTCTTCAGGTGATTCTGCCTTTCATCTTGGGGCCGCATTGCAGCCCTAGACCTCAGGTCTGTAGTGAAGCCAGCAGGGCAGGGAGAGTCAGCACCTTGGATCTGTAGGCATAAGCTGGGGACTGAGCCCAGGGCCTTATGGGTGCAAGGCAGGTGCCCTACTTCTGAGTTATACCCATCCTGATTCCATCTTCAGGCCTGGGCTACCTCTGAGAGCCTTGGCAGGGCAGGGACCTTATCCTCATATTTGTGGGACCCCTTGGTATCAAGACGCTGTCACCTCCCTCTCTGACCCCACAACCCTCTTTAGATGTCATTAAGGATCTCCAAAGCCCCTCAGTAGTCAAAGCTGTTCATGTGAGGCCCATATATGCTGGTGAGGCCTCAGTCCCACTTCGTCTTTGGGGGCTACCTTTGGTGTGAGCCCAAAGGCTGCACTGTTGAACAGTAGAATGCCCCAAGGAGATACACCTGCCCACCACGCGCTATCTGGAAGCTTAGCGAAGCTCTTTGCTCTCTGGCTTCCTGCTCTCATCCCCTGCTGCCTCAGTTCCTCTTTTCTGCCTGCTCGGAACCTACCCTGAAGTGACTACACAAGCGTCCGGTGAGACCTTTCTTGTGCTTTCGGCCTCCTCTCTGATTCTGGGGTGGAGGCACGTGTTCCCCGCTCTCATCTTCCAGGCCTTAGATCTTCAGCAGACAAGGAACCCTAACTGATGACTCAGCACCTCCGGCTCTTCAGCCTCAGCCCAGGAGTGGAGAAGGGAAAGCTGGCTCGTCACCTGCGCTGGGGCTGGTGCCAGGCTGGGGGAGCTGCGAGGGTGGCAGCACCCTGCTGTCTGGAACAAACTGGAGGGCAGAGCCTGCGACCCAAAGGGCACGGGTTGCCTTAAATGAGCGTTAGCAGAATCAGGATGCCAGCCAGCTAGGGAGCAGCAGCAAAGGTCACGTCCAGGGACTCAGGGGACTCTGTCTGGAGCCAGCAGGACCATGCGTGGCCAGCCTCGGAAAGCCTCCAGAGAGAGGGAAGTGAGACCTAAGGTAGCTCTCTCCCTGGCCACAACCCCGGAGGGGAGTTTTGCTCTGGGGTGGAAGGTCAGTCCTAAAGGGAGTCTGGGCAGGGCAGGGAGAAGATACCCCAGGGTGGGGCAGGGAGAAGATACCCCAGGGTGGGGCAGGGAGAAGATACCCCAGGGTGGGGCTGGGCAGAGAATGGGCTCCTGAGTGAGGCAAGGGCCTAAGCCCAGGAGTTTCAGAAGTCCCAAGAGAATCACGGAGCTGTTTCAGGAGTTTGCATCTTCCGAGGGTTCACAAACTCTTAAGGTGCCCTCCTTCTGAGTTTTACATCATCACCACCCCTCCACCCACCCCCCCACCCCCGTCTCTATAGCATTCACTCCCAGGCCCCTGGCTGCCCATCCAGCCCACCCCAGCTAGGGGAGAAGCGCTTGGCAAAGGAGCCTTGCCCTAGTGATTCTCAACTTCCAGCCCAAAGATCTGTAACTTTGCCTAAGTGTCTTTGAACCCCTAGACCCCTGGGAACCACAGTGGGAGAGAGGAAAGGGTGGAGGAGCTGAAAGGACAGATTTCTGCGGAGGGAGATTGTTGGTGATGATTTATTAGCCAGACAAGAACCAACAAACAAATTCTCACATCTGTTCTCACCAAACCATCCCTCAGACAACAGTAGCATTGGACTAGGGCCCAGATTTGAAGGCTCGGAGGGCCAAGGTTGCCTAAAGGTTGCCAATTTCTTGAGGAGGAAAACCCAGCCAGGGTCTGGGAGGCAGGATGGCTTCCCTAGTACACTTCCTTGCGTTGGGTTTGTGGTGACTCTCAGGAGAGCCAGGGTGTGTGCTGCTGTGATGAAGACCCCACATTTGTTCCTGTGACCTCCAGGCTGCTTTGGAGTAGGAGGGCAGGCTTGTTAAGGGGACAGGAGAAGCTGGGGTGCAGAGAGGCCCCAGTACAGAACTCTGGAAAGCAAGCAGGCTTGTTAGTTGAGGAAATCTCTTCTGTCTCTTGTGGAGAAGAGAGGATTCAGGCTGAGGACAGAGAACCCTGAACAGAGGTTTTAATCCTTGACCTTGGCCCAGGCATTCTCCCTCCCTGGCTTCGTTTCGTTATTTGCACAATGAGGGAATTGAACGTAATTGATACAGGCAAAAGAAATGCCGTTCCTGCACCCACAGCAGACATCACTCATCAGTCACGGTGCTCTTTTCTGCTGAGCTTGGACGTGACCTTAATATCCTTTCCAATGCCGCGCTCTAGGCAGCCGAGACCAATGGATTGGAGTTGGCATGCGGCATGACACCTCCTTGCCATCCTTGCGGTAGATGAAGGAGCAGCTCACCTGTAGTCTCTCCACCTGCCTTTCCTAAGAAAGGACCAGGTGAATATGAAGGTCTCGGGGCACAAAATACCCCAAGCTAGCCTCTCTCAGATCAGACACACTACCCGGTGATGAGGCCGGAGAGGAGCCAGGCCTGTTCTCTGTTCTGAAGCACCTGTCTACACAGGGTATGCTTCCAGGGGAGGGCTGATGAGGAGGGAGAGGACCTTGCTCTGTCACAGAGTTCTCAGAATGCAGCTCTGGAGCACCTGTCTTCTGCAGACAGAAGGACAGCCCTGGCTCACACCGTCTGCCTCTTTGGCTGATATGCTGTCTCCAGGAAAAGGTATCTGGTCTTAACCCTTTGGCCTCCAGAGAGGGCATGTAGACTCCCGCCCATGTCCATTCATTCCCTCTGTCTCTCCTCCTCTCCAGTCCCTCTCCCTTCCTAAGCACCTGCTTTGTGCCCAGCACTGGGCTGGTACTTTAGAGATAGCTGAGTATTCCCCAGGGCTGCCCCGAGTGAGTCATGCTCGGTGGGGAGAGGGGAAGACAGAAGATAAAGAGGAAGAAGGGGTGTCCCAGCCGGCCAGGGGCCCAGCAAGTGTGTTAGGAGGTCAGGCCAGGGAAGGCTTTCCAGGGAGAAGGGCAAACGGCCTCGAGGTGGGGTGAAGGGTTGCCAGGCAGCAGGTAGATAAGCTTGTAGGAGCTGCTACAGGCAGAACAGGTGTGTGTAAGCTAGAAGAGACTTGGTAGCTCTTGGTGAGTTTGGAGAAACGGAGTGCTCAAAGTGAGGCTGGTGACGTGGGATCTCACCTCAGTACGGAGGACCTGGGGGCGGGGGGGGGGGGGCTGCTTCAGAAAGCCCATTCTGGCTTCCTCGGGGAAGAATAGGTCAGAAGTGACAGGCTTGGTTCGAAGGAGACCAGTTGAGAAGCTCTTAGAGAGACTGGGGTAGAGCTCAGAGGGTGAAGAGGTTGTCTAGCTTCACAGGCCCCGAGCTTGATCCCTGGTGCTGTACGAGCCGCTCGGGAGCACACACTTGTAATCCCAGCATGCAGGAAGTAGATGCTGTAGGGTCAGAAGTTCAAGGTCTATCGGCTTCGTAGTAAGACGGAAGCTTGATGCACACGCATCATCCCAGCATCCTTTGGAAGGCTGGAACAAGCAGCTCTCTGTAAGTGCCAGGCCAGTCTGGTCTACATAGTGACTTCCAGGCCCGCCAGTGAGCCCCTGTCTCAAAAATAACACCAACAAAAATATAGTTCCTGGAAAAGTCTTGATGAGAAGATGGCAGGGGCTGGAACTGGGGGAGAGGGCGGATGTTATTGACCTACAGAGATTAAAGTGAAGGGTGGAGATGTTTAGGGTCCCCACATCTCTGGTTGGAGAGCTAGGTTCTGGGAGGTAAGGATGTGGAACACAGGAGGACACTTGAGTGTGTGTGTGTGTGTGTGTGTGTGTGTGTGTGTGTGTGTGTGTGTGTGAGAGAGAGAGGGGGGGGGTATTGGCCTGAATGACATCTGAGTGGCTTTAGAACTAGGGGGATGTTGTGGAATATTTGTTTATGTAAAGATGTGTTGCATTTGTTTGTTGTGAAATATTTAACTACGTAAAGATGTGTTTCATTTGTTTATGTTGTGGAATATTTGTTTAACTATGTAAAGATGTGTTGCTGTTTTACCTTGCCTGCCTACGGCACCTGATTGGTCTAATAAAAAGCTGAATGACAGGGCTGGAGAGATGGCTCAGTGGTTAAGAGCACTGACTGCTCTTCCACAGGACCCAGGTTCAATTCCCAGCACCCACATGGCAGCTCACAACTGTCTAACTCCTGTTTCAGGGGATCCCACACCCTCACACAGACATACATTCAGGCAAAACACCAATGCACATAAAATATAAATACATTTTTTAAAAAAGCTGAATTCAGCCAATAGTGAGGGAGGAGGTATAAGTGGGATTTTGGGCAGGGAGAATAAGCAGGAGGAGGAATTTAGGCTTGAGGGAGAAAGAAAAAGACGCCAGGGAGATGCCAGGGCCCAGTCAGCCAGACATGGAGGAAGCAGGAAAGTAGGACGTACAGAATGAAAGAAAAGTAAAAGGCCCCAAGGCAAAAGGTAGATGAATAGAGAGAGGTTAAATTAAGTTAAAAGAGTTAGTGGAACAAGCCTAAGCTAAGCCTGAGCCTTCATGATTGATAATAACTCTTCATGTCTTTATTTGGGAGCTGGTTGGCAACCCAAAGACAACACTAACTACATGGGGAGCCTGGATGGAGACAGGACTGTAAAGGCAGAAGGTGGCAGGGGGCCCAGGTGAGCTCAGCGGGCACAGGCAGAGCAGGGAACTTCGGTGCCCGCAGAGAGGAAGTCTGAGGAAGGACCTGAAGTATGGGGAGTCTGACTCATGGCATCTCAATACCACTTTCAGATGTGACTGAAACTCTCAGTGGGGAGCCTGAAAGGGGTGAGCACAGGGGTGCAGTGGCCACTTTCTGAGTCCCCTGGGGGTGACAAGTGGGATTCCAAGTGTCCTCTGTTTGAGGAAGGCCTGACAGTCATGAGGCAGGCTGGGAGGAGGAAGGTTGAGGGAACCCTGTCTCCCTTAATTTTTTTTTTCTGAAGTAGGGGCAGGTAGGGCTTGGCAAAGGTGAGCCCGTGGGAATGTCCAGGAGAACAGACAGAGCAGTCTCAGGCCTGGAGCTGGGCCAAGGTTTCCGGCTGCGTGGACCACTCCATTCCGCTTCAGCCCGCCGACTTCACCTTGCCCTGCTGTTCAGGAGGGGCTCCCTCTTTCTGCTGGCTTTCTTGAACTTTTCTTCCCCGGTACCGCCTTTGCCTGGCCTCCTGAGACAGGCCTGGACCAGCACTTCTGGAGGATGGGGTGCCCAGTGGGTGCCACTCCCGATGGCCCCTCTACCTCAGCATAGATATTACTGGAGGCTTCTCCGGGGCTGCCCCGTCCCATGGCGTAGAAGGCTATGGGTTCATCAGGCTCCTGGTAGATGGGGTGAACGGGTAGAGCCCGATGGGGTCGGGAAGTAGGACGCGTATAGACTTCAAGAGGAAGCTGAGGCTTGGCTGGGATGGGAGGCCTGGGTCTGGATCCCTGTGAAGTCTAGGAGAAAAGGCAAGGCCAGGGAAGAGAAGTGATGAGAACCATAGAGACACCGTCTAAGCTCAGGCCTGTCTCAGCCTGAGCCTCCACCCATGCGGTCCCTACCTTCCTGGCCTCTCCCTCTGTCCTGTGTCCCCTCTCAAGAGGCTGATCCCCTCTCCAGATGCTGACCCCCTCTCCAGATGCTGATCTCCTCTCCAGAGGCTGACCCCCTCTCCAGATGCTGACCCCCCTCTCCAGAGGCTGGTCCCCTCTCCAGAGACTGATCCCCTCTCCTCTCCAGAGGCTGATCCCCTCTCCAGATGCTGATCCCCTCTCCTCTCCAGAGGCTGGTCCCCTCTCCAGATGCTGATCCCCTCTCCTCTCCAGAGGCTGATCCCCTCTCCAGAGGCTGACCCCCCTCCAGAGGCTGGTCCCCTCTCCAGAGGCTGACCCCCTCTCCAGAGGCTGA